GTCCGTGAATGCAATGCCAACTGTTCGAAATACCTCTTCATCCTTCTAATGGGCGCCTAATATGAACTTGGTCCTCTTCACCCATGTTGAACTTAGGCCTCTTCACCCGTGCTGGGGCGCCACCGGCTGTCCCCTAGCCGGTATCGCCCACCTGCAGGTCGGGAGCAGCCCCTGCATGTTCTCTCGTGAACACGGTTCTGGCTGCTACGGGGTTCCCCGTATGCCTACAATTAGGAGTAGTGGTAGGTAGGTAGTGTGAGGTGAAATTGAGAGAAGAATATAGCTTTTATAAAATAAAAAATAAAAGTAACGTCTCCTAACTAGCCCTTACAACATTTTTTTCTGAGAATGATGACGTGGAATGCGTGTTTAACTTTCCACTCCGGACCCCCTTCTTCTTCAAGGATATTCCTTCCATGGGTGTACGGAAGCCGGTTTTCCTCCTTTGATTTTCTTGTCAATCAGAGACATGGGATTTGTGTTCAATTTCGCTCCATTGAACTGGGGACATGGATTCTATCATGGAAGACCTTACACAATCATATGAGGAGGGCAGGGAATATGTAGAGTTGCCTGCAGCATGTCTATTGTGTCTGTGATCTGGGGCTGAATCCCACTAGCGGGGGATTACACTTGCTTTCGGGTACTACGCGCAGGTTCCTGACATTCAATCTGAACATCTCAATGCCGCACTGTGGCCTCATTGAAAAAAAGTCGAAAGGAAGACTAAACCCCCGCTAGAGGGACCTGGCTGCTCCTGGAAACAGAGAAACAGCATAGAAATGAATGCTCAACAGACATAGGGTTAACAAAATGACATTGGGTTGAAAGAGGAAACTTGGGACAAAGTACGAAGGATAGTCTGGCACAAGAGGGGAAAACGGCCGCAGCTGGTCTGTAACCTTGGACCCCACGGCTGGGCACTTTGGAACCCCTCTGGAAACCCAGTTTGCGCAAAAACCAGTTCCACCGCAGGGGAAGATGACCGCAGTGCCCCACGAGAGCCACCCAGGATCGCCCTCCAGTTCAGCCACCCCCCCTGCCGCATCTTGGGCAGAGAAAGTAAGGGGAATGCCTGCCCCAGACACCATTACGATCCAACGTAAGAGAGACGGCATCAGCGGGGTAGGAAAAGAGGAATGGAAAATCCCCCTGAAAAATCTAACAACTGCAGGGGCATTCTTTCTGTCCCGCCTCCTGGTCGCCCCTGAGAACACGATTCTACAACAAGCTGGCAAGTCTACAGTCATCAAAGCACTTCCGGGAGGTGCTGTTAAAACAAGAGATGAACTGTATACGCGCCACGCAAGCAACTGGGCATTCCACGACGATGCATCATACAAATCAACGAACGATAAAGTGGGTTGGATCAGGGAGCGTTTAGCGGCATTCAAAGGATCGCAAGCAAACGCGCGGGAACTATTCGTGATCCAACCTGTGTCCGCCTCAGTCATTACCGTTCTATGTGTAGAGGAGGAGGACAAAAAAATAATGGACAAATGAAGATCCCTCTGCTGTGATCGATCAGAAGTCCGCATCTACCCCTGGGTCCCTCCGAAACCCCATCGGCCGGAGGAACGCAGGGAACAGATGATGAAGGAGTATTTCTGGGTCGAATTTTGCCACATTCCGATCGAGGTTCAAGCCGCATTCGTCCAGGAGTTCGCGGAGAAATACGGTGTGGTGGACTTCATCGATCCACTTCCTCCCCACATGGCGCGAAGAGATGACCACCTAATGTTAGCCATTAATCTGGCGGACGAGCATATCTTCTCGATGGATGACGTTATTCCATTCTGCGTCGGAGGGAAACTTTATCGGATCCACACCGCCCACAAGTTCAGACCATGGTGTGTCAAATGTCAGGCCTACGTCCACTTGTACACAGACACAATCTGCTCCCGCCACCCCTCACGCATTGCCAAGCCCACAGGGCGCCTAAAAAAGGATCCCTTTGACAACACCAAATGGCGGACAGTCAATACAGGGTACGAAGGGTGGGTCTACATTGTCGCACCTCGTGGGAATGGGAAGGATGAGAAGTTGACGGGCTGGTCCTAGGAAGGGCAAGGTGACCCGCGCCCGGGGTCTCAACCACCGGCAACTTGGACTCCGCCCAAGACCCTGGAGGTGCACCTAAAAAATCCCCACACAAAGACCAAAAAGCAAGGGGTTTGGGAGGTCGTAGGAGGGAAGAAGCAGGACGGTGGGCAGAAAACAGCAGAAGAAACAACAGAAGGGATGGGCTCCCAGGACAACCACAACCGCTTTGCATGTTTAGAGGACGGGGAGGAGGGGCAAAGGAGGCCGGGACAGGAACTCCAAGTTGTGCCCCAAAAGGAGCACAAAGGGAAAGAACAGGTCTGTGATCTTTCGGATAAGATCCCCAAAGAGCCAAACTACACCGAGGGGAAAAAGGGGGCTCTAAACTGCGACCGAGCTCCTGGACCTGGCCAGCTTCTTCATACTACCCCACCCAAAGAAAACCCAAACGACCGAGCACGTGCACAACCTCAGTCCTCACAAGCCACCCCGACTAATACAGCACTTGCAAACACAGAGTGTGTGGCAATCTCAGGGGAAGGGGGGATAAACGGAAGTGTCAGGGAAGGAACGACAGACAAGGGGAAGGCACCGGAATGTGAACAAGTACATGGGGAAGGAGGAGCAGGTGAGAAGGGCGGAAGCCATCAGGGAACATGGCTGAAGCAGCAAGCGAGAGAAAAGACACAGCGAGTACAGCAACAGCACACCCCGAAAATCAGGCAAGGGCCCGGTCAGCAAGATCAAGAACAGCGACGGCCCCAACCCCAGGCAGAACAACTAGAACAAGAACGGCAACAGCAACAGCAACAATCCAAGCAAGAAGAAATGAAACCACTGCCCCCTGACTTCTGCTCTGACGCTTTTGGGGCACAACAGATGGAGGTGGACACATCTCTCCCCCCCCCGGACGTGGAAATGGAAGATTCTGGCCAAGCTCCGACAGACCCGGACGCCCCCCCACAAGAAATGGGATTAGACCAGAAAATCCAAGTGGTGGCCGACTGGATACTTAATCACCTCCAATCGAACTGCCCATATGAGGGGGAGGAATATTGGGACAAAACATATGTTGAGTTGGTGGGACTCCTGAACAACAGTCCATCACTGAGGACCGCATTAACATCCGGTCCTCCCCCCCACTTGACATGGGCAGAGGCCTTCCAGCGTGTACTGGCAGTGGCCCGGAGTAGGTTCCACCCTCCGGAGGCTCACCATCCAGTACAGAAGGAGCACGTCCCAGAAGCCAAGGGAGGGGAGGCAACTGAGGAAGGAATGAGTTCACACAGACTTAAGTTGAGGCAGCTCATTGAACGGGGCCTCTTTGAGCTGCCTCTAGCTAAACTAAGTGGAGTCCTAGTAGTCCCCCTCAGAAAGGTAGATGGAAAATGGGAGTTAAGCCTCTCCCCGGTGGGGGAATATGGGGGAGTGACACTACACGGCTGGGAATTCGCACCTCAGGGAGGAGATCGGAGGGAATGGGACATAGCTTTCACCAACCAAATGTCCAACTTCATCCCCAAACACTACGCCCCTGGGGACAGAGCAGGCATGAGATTTGTTGGGACAAGCAGTGAGCAGATGGCTAAGAATGACCTCTACCTGCTTTTCGAATCCAACAAATCCGCTAACCTGGGCTGGTACAGCCACAACGCCCTCTTGGATCTACAGTGCGCTAAGATAAAAACTGGCGAATACTGGGCCGAGGACGACATATGCAAATGTCTATGCCACATTGTGCGGAAGAAAATTCTACTTTCGAACAGATGGGACGTTAGGCAATGGCACCCGCTATGAAACCAGGGGTCCACCGTGATAACAGGAAGCGAACCTTAAGGTAATGGAGGATCTCGACACGCTATACTGCAGGAACCCGGCATGGCTATGTTACCGCGTGTTCATTGAACGCGCGTTTGACGTTCAGTTTTTGAACGATTTGAACGTGCGTTCAATGAACGCCCCTGAACGCAGTTGACGCGTTTGCGCAGGGGTCTGTCAGGGCTGGGGTGGTGCCTCTGAGGGCGCTGGAGTGTCGGCGGTGTTCAGGGGAGCCTCCCGGGAGGTTGTGGTCCCGGAAAAAAAAA